AAGGGGGACCCCCCCCCCAGTCTGCCAATCCAGAGGCACTGTCCCCGACTACCATGTGATGTTGGTTGCAGAGGCATGTCAACCATGACACCCCCACAACATCCAGAGTTAAGGTACTCAGGATGAATCTCATCCACCCCCGGTGCCTTGCCACCAAGAAGCTTCTCAACTACCTCGGTGACTTCAGCTTGGGTGATTGACAAGTCCACCTCCGAGCCCCCGGCCTCTGCTTCCTCGTTGGAAGACGTGATACCGGGGTTGAGGAGATCCTCGAAGTATTCCTTCCACTGTCCGACAATGTCCCCATTTGAGGTCAACAGCTGCCCACCTCCACTGTAAAGAGTTTTGGCAGGACACTGCTTCCCCCTTCTGAGGTGCCGGATGGTTTGCCAGAATTTCTTCAAGGCCGACCAATAGTCCCTCTTTCATGGCATCACCAAACTCTTCCCAGATCTGTGATACCGGGGTTGAGGAGATCCTCGAAGTATTCCTTCCACTGTCCGACAATGTCCCCATTTGAGGTCAACAGCTGCCCACCTCCACTGTAAAGAGTTTTGGCAGGACACTGCTTCCCCCTTCTGAGGTGCCGGACGGTTTGCCAGAATTTCTTCGAGGCTGACCAATAGTCCCTCTTTCATGGCATCACCAAACTCTTCCCAGATCCGAGTTTTTGCCTCCACAACCACCCGGGCTGCAGTCCGCTTGGGCTTCCGGTACCTGTCAGCTGCCTCAGGTGTCCCTCGAGCCAACCGGGCTCGAAAGGACTCCTTCAGCTTGACAGCATCCCTTACTTCCGGTGTCCACCACTGGGTTCGGGGATTGCCGCCGCAATCCCCCTACATGGTCCACTCGGACTCAATGTCTCCAACCTCCCCCGGGATCTGGTCAAAGCTCTGCCGGAGGTGGGAGTTGAACATCTCTCTGACAGGGGATTCTGCTAAATGTTCCCAACGAACCCTCACAATACGTTTGGGTCTGCCGAGTCAGTCCAGCTTCTTCCCCCGGCATCGGATCCACATCACCACCAGGTGGTGATCAGTTGACAGCTCCGCCCGAGTGTCCAAGACGTACGGCCGAAGGTCAGATGAAACAACCACAAAGTCGATCATTGACCTCCGGCCTAGGGTGTCCTGGTGCCACGTGCACTGATGGACACCCTTATGCTTGAACATGGTGTTTGTTATGGACAAACTGTGACTAGCACAGAAGTCCAATAACAGAACACCACTCGGGTTCAGAACGGGGGGGCCGTTCCTCCCAATCACGCCCCTCCAGGTGTCACTGTCGCTGCCCACGTTAGCGTTGAAGTCCCCAAGTAGAACAACAGAGTCCCCAGTCAGAGTGTTTTCCAGCACCCTTCCCAGGAACTCCAAGAAGGCCGGATACTCTACACTGCCATTCAGCCCATAGGCACAAACGGCGGTGAGAAACCTATCCCAGGTGTGATGTTCAAATATATGAGCACAGATGACAAACTGTGAACCATTTGAACATTTGAATTAAAAAAATTCTAAATATTAATGAAAACATCAAAATAAAAAGTACAAGTATTTGTGTTGGTTGGCATTTAGTTGACCAAGGAGAGAGTTGGAGAACAACTGGCCGCAAGGCAGTATAAGAACATGTTGCCTAAAACTTGGCTAAAATCTTAGGGTTTTGGCTGTTACCTGGACAAACGAGCTTTGAGGTCCCAGAAGTTGAGATTGCCATCTACATCTCCAAGCACCAGAGTGTCACCTTTCCAAGCAATGCAGGCAATACTGCCCATACTACCCTGCAACACAGGCAGAGAAAAGATGTTTACTGCAAGAACATGTTATGTTATAAAGAAAGAACAGCTGCACATTTGTCCCCTACTCATAGGTTCCTAATTAACACACTAATTAATTAAGTCAAGCATTTGAAAGCTAAGGTAAACCTAAACATTCATTTAACAGTCTTGATTTGAATTTTGCCTTAATTTTCAACTGTTTACAGACACCAAACTATAAGGTTTACTGTCTACTAGCCACACTAATGAGCTGCTGTAATTGTATCCTCCAAGTACTGAGATAACCTATGTGAATTTGTTTTTAAATTATCTGAGATCCACAATCATCCTTCATATAATTATAAGATAAATATCAAGAAAAATTGTCATGATTTTAACTGGATAGTTAAAATAAATTTAATCCCAGCAGCATAAAAACACCTTTTCCCTTGAGCATAAAACAATATACATACATTCTACAGGAAAGTAATCTAATACGCCAAAAGAAAGAGCGCTGATATGTGAAGACATTAAGTGTCAGTTCACCTTCAGTACATGGACAATAGGACTCAACCTTTTAAGAGAATTTCTGTCAGTTTCATGAAAGAGATATAAAAAAAAATCATCTATCATACTGAAAGAACTGTAAAATCTTTGGGACATTCAAATGGGATACTCAAATCTTTAAGCAATAAATCTGCAGCCATCATGAAGATAAGGCCCTAAAATCCCCAGTTAAACCTCTAGTGTCTGTCTGAGTGGTATGAATAGAAAAACAGACTGCCTTACAATCCTATCTGCTGCATAGAAATGGATTTGAGAAATCGATATACTATAGTGCTTTTCCTTTAGAAAAGGCTGATGGCGCAAGATGAATAAAAAAAAAAGAAAAATAAAATCAAGGTTTGTGAAAAGGTCTCAAACTGTGCTATTTTTAATGACAAAACATGGGCATAAGGTGCTACTGCACCTACACTACAAATCAAAGGTTCGGACACACTTATGTCCAAACCTTTTAGTCTATAGCAAGACTTGGCTCCACACAATTACAAGTCAAAACAAGATAATGTGTATGGGAAAGTTCCTGAAGCCAAAGTCCAAAAGACTTGCCAAACAACAGCTTCAAGTTTATGCTAGTCAGTGGAAAATGAATGCCTGGGCAACTAAACACCTTTCTTTAATTTACAATCAAATGGTTCTTTGTTAGCAGTGACATTTTGACTTGCAAAGTAATAAAACATTGTGCTGCTATATTACCACATCTTTGTAGTCACCCAGGTGAAACAAACTACTGCTGTCCTCAGCAATAACATATGTTTTCTAGTCTGGCCATTTTGCTGTGAAAGTAAATTCATAGCTAGGTTACCAGGTAAATAAAAACCTATATTATCTTCCTGAGCATGAGTACCACTCTTAACCAGTAGGGAAAACAGGTGCAAAACAACATCTGGGACAAAGTGATGACACACTGATGACATTCAAAATCACACATAGTTCAGTTTATTGTTTATTCTAAACATGTAAAGCTGTAGAATTTAGCTTAAAAAACATCACATTGATTTCTTTCTGAGGCTGGCACATTTAGTTAAATTAAGTGTATTACTCACAAGCCCCACAAAAAACCTGAAGGACACAAGGTACAATGACTTTTACTTTATAGAGAAGTAAATTTTGCAGGTGCTGGCTGACAACCAGAAGGCAGTGATTCTTTCGAGCTTGACACAATGCAGATGTGTGATCAGAAAAACAGGGAAGTAATTGATGTGAAACACTGCTATCATCTTTCCAATCTCTTCGACACTGATAAAGAATAGTACATATTGCAAAAAACTATTTAACCTTTAAACATGAGAGATGATGCAAGAACAGACAAAGGGGACAACCATATGTTTTATCTAAAAAGAAGTGACTGAATTGATGAGGTGTGCAAAAATAAAGAACAGTATATAAGAGACAGTGCAGTCTACAATGCTGAAAGAAAATATTGATGAATAGTTTAGAGATGACTGATACATATGGGAAAGGAGAGACGCACAGTAAAAGTTATGCTACTGTAGGACATCCACAAAATGTAAACAAGGAGAAGAAAAGACAGATTTAAAACTGTATACAGACAGGATTAATGACATATTAAATTGAAAGGAGCAGGAGAGGTACAGTATGAAGTGGGTAGGCATTAGGGATGGGCATTTCAAGCTAAAATGCTATTCGATATTCACTGGGAACTATTTGACTATCTTTGAATATTCGAAAATCACTGCTTTGTGCAAGGGTCAAGGGGGATGACCTTGAAGTATTTCAGGAGAATATGAAGTTAAAAAGAGACAAAAATGACTCACATCAGGGGGAATCCGTGCACCATCTTTGACTGTGTTGCCCTCTACAGTGATATGGTAGACCTGCCCATCTGTGTCAGTGAATACAAAATGCTCCCTTGCTGAGATGGCCTGGCTGGTCTCTGACTTGCTTTCTGCATCCTGCAGGAGGCTGCAGTGGAGAAATCACACAAGCAGATAATTCTCTCAGATACGCATAACATGTTGGCATTTTTCCACTGGGTCCATTGTGAAATATTTGGACTTAGATATCTTGGTATTCAGTATTTCTGTATGTTGCTGATAGTGGTAATGCATTTACCATCTGCATATGATAACCCAGTTGTACAAATGCAAACATGAACTTAGACATAGAGCTCAACTGTATGTAAATGTTATTGCAACAATAATGTTGAGGCAAAAAAGATTGTTCCAGGTCACGTTTTCTGCAGCTGCAGTATCTTTGATATTTACACAATATAAGAACTAATTAGACTACTGGAATGTTGACTTCCGCTATCAAATAATTAATCAAATATAATAAGGGGTTAAAATGTTTTGGAAATAGAATGATTAGACGTTGAATTAAAAATAGAATTCCATGAATTGCAGTCAGTCTGGTGCTGGAAGATTGCATTCATGGAAGTCTAAAAAACATGTGGCACTCTGCCTTAGGGCTTTCTACCCTGACAAAAGGCTTTATAATGCTGACCTGATGACTGAGGATTCAACACTACTCTGCTCAGCATCTGACACTGTCTGTCGTGCCATTGCCTCCCTCGCTGCCATCTGCTTCTTCTTTAGACTCTTCAGGTTGTGGGATGGGGACCACTCCTGTTTTCACACACATACATACATACATAAGGTTGCTGTTACAGAAACAAACCATCCTCCACCACATTCACTGAAATAACAGAAAACAATTACAGTGTAAAAAGACAGAGACAAGAGGAAAGGGAAGTGATCTGCACATGCTCACACAAGAGAAACTGAGGTGATCAGGAGAACTGTATTCCCCAGCCGTAGTGGAACACTCTTGCGAGAGTCTGGTTAACTTGAGATTGATATCAATATGGAAATGAGACAGCAATAGAGAGCTGGGGGAGGCGGGTATGTATTATTAAGGTTAGTGGCGTTTTTATTTGCAAGGTGGATGATTGTACAGCTCCAATGTCCAGCATACAGTAAGTCTTCTTTTACGAGTATTTCTCTGGTCAAATGAAGCCAATGTTAGATTAGATAAGATAATCCTTTATTGTCATTGTAACACGTACAACAAATTTCTAGAGTGATTCCAGTCGGTACAGCAACAGAAAAAAAAAAATGCTAATCTTGCAAACATTTCCAGACTAATCTTTCAAGGGGCCAACACAAACACAAAAGTATGATACTATTAGTAAAAGAAGAAATCAACAACACTGACAGTGCGGTTTGTTAAAGTTACAGTATGCTTTATTTTTCAAATATTTTCTTAATAGAAACATCCCCCAAAACCTATCTTAATGGGGAGAATTTCTGTCAAAGGCTCCTGTGACTCATCAAACAATCTGGAGGCAGTGCAGAGATATTATAAAGGTTTCTGACCAGATAACTCTCTTAACCAATCAGAGAAGGCCACTGTCAGGGGCAGGAGCTCATGGCTGTCAATCAATACAGGAGCACACTTCAGCTCAACTGACATAACTACAGCTGTTTGACAGGCTAGCAAGCTGTTGATTCCAGTGTTAGCTGAGATAGCTACATGGAAAAGAAGGACAAAAAGAGAAAGTTAGGAAGAGAAAAGAAACCAACGAAACTGGACTTGGATCATAATCTTATATCATTTATATCTTTCACCCAATGAAGAGAGTTGACAGAAAAAATTACAAAGGCATTGGCATTATTTCTGCTTGACTGATAGTATAATAACAATTCAAACCATTATTACCCTTTGTGCTTGTAGCTAAATCATGCCAGAACATGTCATTTGCACTCCCAGTGTGACTGTAACAGCAGCTGGCTACGCTAAGGATGTCACCGTGTTGCTACTTTTAGTTATAGTAGTCTGTCAGTTACATCCAGGCAAGTTCATACACAAGCCACTGGTCTGCTGTTGCTGGTGAATCAGTTTGTGACCATGAATTAGATTATTTTGGTGCCTGCCAGCTAAATGTATTGTAGTCTCCACTAACTTGGTCATTTTTCCCCAGAGTCTGGCTCTGGGTCAGTGGTTTGGCGCCTGCTACAGCTGTGGTGATATTACTTTGCCATGTGTTGTTCTCTCAAGTTACTACAACGATACAGCTGCACTCGACAGTGTGTTTTATTCAAATTCAGATGTGTTTTCCAACAGCAAGTGTACTACTGTATATATGATAGAGTGTAAAAGTGTTATTTATGATGTGACCTTTTCAGGGTGCATTTGTTCTTTTCTCTGTCGATGCTCACAAATTGTGATGGCTGTAAATGTGTCGTGTCCATCTGCCATTTAGTGGAAGTTGCTGTGCGGTGTTTACTGTAGACATGAAGCAGGGCAGTCAGCTTGGTGAGTAACATTACAATATTTTAATGGCCATCAGTTGAATGCTGTCTGCTAACTTGGTGAATTTCTCTCCAAACTGTGACACTGTGTGACCGTTTGGTGCTCATGAAGGGATGGGTGGAGAGGAGCAAGCAGGGAGAGGGAGGGCTGGACATAGCAGAGTCTCATGCTTCATTAAGTGGACCGCAGGCAAAGCTGTGAAGGCACCACACTTCTGCAAGTCTGTGTTCTTCTTGTTCAACAGCTGTTTGATAAACTGCTCATACAGTCTGTTACTGGCTGATTGTTGCACTATGGAGTGGTCCTTCACATCCTCTACTCTGCCTTGTGTTTGAGAAGAAACCAGCCTCTCTCTCCCCTAAACAGACAGCAAAAAATGCAGTGGACAAGCAAAGCAGGATGGTCTGCATCAAACCATGAGGTTATGTTGGGCGATGGGTTAGGGAAGCATGGTGTGTACTGCTCATTAGGTTCCGATAGTCGAAATGCAGCTAGCTGTGACGGCATGAGAATGCATGAACACCTGTTTAGAAACATGTCATTTCTGTTTTATTTCAATTTTAATAGTATTTGTTGTATATTCTCCTTGTGTTGCTCCCAAACCTAGCTTGGAGAAAAAATGTTAGTATGTAGATTTGTCAGTACCAGTGCAGTAACAGTAGGAAAGTTCTTAGCCATCTCTCGGAGAAGTGTCCCCGTCCTGGTGTCCCACAGCTCCAGGGGTTTGTCTCTGAACACCACCACCAGGTACTGCCTAGAATGGGCATTACAAGCACACACATTCATTTTCAAAACATCCACTGTCCACTGCACCACTGTAAAAATTCTTGTATTTGTTGAACTCAAAAAGGGTCTCAAAAATTGGTATGTGGTTTGAAAGTGTAAATGCTGTCTGCCACCAAGTACAGTAATCTTTGTGTCAGATTAGCAACAAACAGTGACAGTATACAAAAGACAGCTGCTCTTTGATAACCTTTGGGAATGATTTCATTTCTCAAAAAAATGTGTGTTGACTTTAGGTGCATACTCATATTTTACTGAATATCTCAGTCCCATTAAAAGATGCAGCAATGATAAAACAAAAAAAGAGAAAATTAACAATACAATACAGTGTACAACATGTGAAGTTTTTTAGGGATAATAAAAAAATAAAGCAATACAGTTAATGGTGGGTCTGTGCTTTTTAAGTATTTTGGAGGCTTCCCTTAGAATTCCAACCTGGGTATTGGTATGGTATTAAAATGTGCAGAGATGGCTCCAGGCAGATAAGGTGATGGGCTCTGTGTAAATGATGTATAAATGTACAGTGTGTGTATCAGCTAAAAGCACTGGAGGACTATGTGGTATCGTTGGTATTTGGTTTTGCTTGTGGTGAGGACAGCAAACAACTCACTTGAGATGGGACACTTTAATCATCTCAATAGGTGGCTCATCGTTTCCTCGATCACCTCTGAATGCAAAACATCTCCCTGGAAAATACAATAGACAGAGAGAGAGAGGATGTGATGATGAAAGCCATCATCTCATTTCACTTTGGTGCTAGGGAATCCCTGTTTCACCTCTCACTGGAGCAGGGAGAGAAAACTTAATAATTGATTGTTTCCACTTGATCAAAATCCAATCATGTTGCTTTTCATTCACAACTTTTCTCCCACCAAAGCTGACATGATGCAGAGAGCCAAGGGGTCCCTTCAAGCGAAATAAGAATGGCCCTTCAAGTGTTCTGCAAAACATTTGCCTAAGGAAGTGCTGATCTGATTTTGCTTAGGATGCTTAGGAAGGTGGCCTATTTAAAATCTACAAGTCACAGAGCAGCCTGTGGTTGGGTGAGGGGGGTGACTTCCTACAGCTGTCTTATGACAGCAGTTAGCATGGTGTAAAGAAAACTCTGGAAACCTGTGGTGCACTCAAGCCCACTTATCCATTTCATCTTTTGTTTTCCATAATGTGAAGGATCATTTGTCCTGATTACAAAGTATCAACTATCTTATTTTACTTTTCAGATAATCAGCCTACAAATTCTAATCACCTGTGTTAAATCTGCATTCACAAATAGACACATGTACCTGTCAAAGTCTTGAATACAGTTCATGGTGCAACTATAGCATTCAAGTATAATAACTTAAAAGGTGCCTCAAAGTGATGAGCAAATGACACTAGCCATAATCATCCATGTGTAAATAATGTGTAATTATCTGCAAAATAATTATGTTGTACGAGGCAATGCAAACTGAGTTAAATACCACTTTTCAACACCAAGCTTTTCCAATTACTGCAACACACACAAAATCTTTTCATTGAATTGTCCATTCAGAAATGTCTGCCTTAGTAGATTAGCATCAGTCAATGCAGATCTTATTTTGGTGCTGTTCTATTTAAGGAGTTGTTTATGCAAAAATATTCTCACTTTCCATAAATAAATAAGATTAATGCACACTCAAGTAACAGGAACAAAAATCCACAAATCTGCCTGCATTCTTATGAATCTGGTATGGGATATGTACGTGCACCAGGAATCAGAATTTTGGTATAATAGTCATTCAATATATAAAAACATTGTAAGCATATGGTAAAAATAAAACTGCAGCTCAAATAAGTAGAATGAAAAACTATATTTGACCACTTATTCTTTCTGTAAAAAAGTCTAATCACTACCTGCTTTTTAAATCACACTGTCTCATTTTTATTTCTTCATACAAGTTGTAACTCGTAAATAAGATATCCTGGGAGCCACTGAACATTTTCAGTGTTTTATGGAGCTTAGCAAGCCATTACTCACCGTTTCCTCTTTCATTTTAGCGTTATGCTAGGCTAAACATGTCCCAGACCTAATTCATCTCTGTACTGAACACAAACTGATATTTATCTTCTCATTCAACTCTTGGTGAGACGTGACTACATCAGAAATGTGCGCCATGGCCAGGAGGACCACACAACCTGTATGCATTACCGATAGCTAAATGTCCAGTTAAGGACACTTCTGAGGATGTCAGCCACCTGAGTTCATTTGAACTTGTAAGAACAACAATTCAGTATATGTGTTTTGGAAAGAGTATGGGGCTGTAACCAAAGCCAGTGCCATGGACTGTTAGCTCTGAAAACTCTGGTCCTTAAGAGAGTCATTTAAAATGGACTCAGCCTTGTCACTGTCTTGAACGGGGAGAGTCTTTTGACTGATGCCATATTGTTTACTGTGTCCATGCTAGGTTCTCTAGGCAATAATTCAGGAGCTGGATAAGCATGACAAAAACAGGAGTGATATATGAAAATAATAAAATGCTTAGCAACTATTCATATTACAAAACTAGATATATAGTAATTCTCATATATAAATGCATAAACTGAAAACTAAAACTTCTTTTCACTGAAACCTTTAATCATCTCTTCCTGAGAACTCATTACATCCCGCTCAGCTTATTTTCCAATTCTCCTCTCTCTTTGGCACAGAAAATGTAGCATTTCCCCTGCTTCTCGCCAGGAGGTGGAGGAGGCACACAATGATAACACTATTGGTGCAGTAACTCTATAGACCCTTTAACTGGCTCAAGCAGGAATATAAGTTGCTCTGTAAGAGCTCAGGATAGGATCTCATTTTCAGAGTTAGGTGTCACCTAGTGGTTTAATCTGGACCTTAATTCGAGGACTGTGTACCCTGGAGGATAACAAAAATATTCTCTTAAAAAAACATATAGATACTGGACAGTAGATGAAAAGATAAAGTCAGAGGGTAAGAGACTTAAATTTCCATTTTCTTTGTCAATGAAGTTGCAGGAACCTTGAGCAAAACAGAAACCTCAAGAACATAGGCAAATATAAAAGTATCAATTGGCACCATTGAGTACAGGTGATAATGTGTTTGTAGCCCAATTCTATCAAAGGAACCTTCTAAAAGGAAAAGGAACCTTTTGGAACTAGAGAACTTAGTTCCTCTACCTGCTTTTCCACAGGTGGAAAGTGGGTTTAAATATAGTTCTGGGGCATAGCTCTACCCCACACAAAAGTCCATAGTTGGAGGGGGGGGCGACTTTCTGAAGGTCCAAGAACTAACGAGCCGAGACCTGCAATGCTGAGCATCACTGAACAGTGAAATACCACATTCTTACAACTCTACTGCCGACAGTGTAGCTTCTAAGTTTGCAGGCAATTTGTTTAATCTTCCCAGGACTTTGGCCCTGCTGTAGAAATCCAAACCCCAATGCGCTTGAGGGATTTTTACCACAAGGAAAGTTCTTGGACTTTAGTTCCTGGCAACAAAAATTGCCAGAAACTTTCCGGTGGAAACACACCTTGTTTGTGTGTGCCTGGTATTACTCTAACTGTGGGGACTGAAGTTGTTTACCACCAGATGCCAGTCCCCACTATGTAAATCATTGACTTTTAGGGTGAAAACTTATTTAAAGTTAGGGTGAGCTAGGTTTAGGTAAATCTCCATGATATGAATGAAAGTCAGCATAAAGACTACATGAGGAATACTAACAAACGTGCATGTGTGTAAGCCTCTCACCAGTAGGCAGGTCGACATGCTGCAGTTCATTTCGCACCAAGCCCATGTTGTTGGGAGCAGAAGTGGCAAAAGACAGGAAACTGGTAAGACTCACCCATTCAATTCCCCTATGAAAAAAGCACACACACACAATTTTATGTAGTTAAACAAACACTACTACTATCTAATACTTGCTGTGTAGCTCTTCCACTACATCCTAGCAAGCAGTAAGGTAAATGGTACACCTAAAACTGCTACAAAAATCCAAAAGCAAGGCAAAAGAAAAAAAAAAGTACAGCAAATCAAGCCAGCAAGTGTGAGATATGAATATTTTTGAGAAGAGGGCCCAGCTCAGGGAGCACAAACCCCACTGTAATGAGATTATAAATAGCCACATGATTAATTAGTTGATTTCCCCAGTAAATGTAAATGAGATGCTAAGTAGCCTAGGTCTCTTTTGGCTTGGGTGTGCTGGGGCAGGGGCTGCTGGACTCATTTCCATAACCACCTCTGCTCTTCCTACTACACAAAACACACAACTTTGAACTTAGTATTGCACTCTATGTCATAGCACTAGAAATAAATACACTGCTCTACATTCATCTAGACAGGAACCAAAAAAAGGGAGGATGTTTTCAAGAGAAGGCTCTGATCTGATGGAATTACTTGGATGTGGATTTTTTTAATTTGTGTCCTTTTATTTGCTCTACCTTTGATTATATGGACATTTATAAAACACAAGGGGTTCAAATGCACCAAAGCAGTGTGCAACATCAAGCAAATAAACCGTGTGATATGTTAAATACTACATGTAGTAGGTGAGCTCAGGGAACAGCAGCGAGAAATGAAAAGATGGCTGCTGTCACGAGAGAGTAGAGCAAATTCACAGTGACATCGAAAACCAGGCAGAGACAACCAATGCCTAATCGCTCACTTTAATCCACACATACACCCATTTGCACACGAAGAGGCAGCTGCCGAAATTTCAAGTCGCTTGTGTCACATAGCTCATTAAAGTTTGCTGGAAACTTGCATTTGTGGACACCAACTTCTCTCATTAAAGAAAACCTGGCTCTACTTGAACGAATGGTGTTTTCTCAAAATCAATCTCTTAACGGCGTTAATAGATTCAATCTCGTGCTTAATTAATCCTGGTGAAATAGTTTTGCAGCTCGTTGGAGAATACTAACTAATGAAGCACAGCCTGGTCTTTGCTGATGTTTGGCTGTGGTGTAGCTCAGAAAGTGGTGCAGGGTTCAGACTGTATCAGTTTTCACCTTTGATGTGTGATTGACAGCTTGATTGGCTCGATTTCCACCTACACCAAATAATTCAGTTCAAATTACAATGGAAATTTATATTTATATGAAGAATGCAGAAATCAGAAGAGCCTTCTCCCAGCAGACATTTTGGCGTGTCACAGCACAACAAAAGAATAACTATTAATAATGATGGCTCTGTTCTGCTCAGGTGTTTCAAGGAGTCAGCATGCACAATGCCAGAGCTCTACCTTGTTAGTAACACCTGTGTTTGACTTTTTGTCAGACAGTGATAGTGGAGCATATTTGTTATTTTTAATTGGACAAATACAGCACTACACTTACTATATCTTAACTGTTACATCAGCAGCTCTGGGGAGATACAGATGAGTGACTAGAAACAAAACAATAACAAAAAAAAAAACCCCAGAATAAATGAGTGTCTCTTCCAGGATGACAGTGCCCCCATCTATAGTGCAAAATGGGTCACTGAATGGTTTGATGAGTATGAAAATGATGAATCATATATGCTATGGCCTTCACAGTCACCAGATATCAACCCAACTGAACACTTAAGGGAAATGTTGCTCCCCCGCGTTGGAACATCTAGTACCACCATCAAAACAACAAATATCTTTTGGAGAAATAGTGTTCATCCTTTCAGAGTCCAGAAACTTGCTGAGTCAATGTCAAGGCAATTGTCATCACTCTGTACATAACAATGAACATCACTAGTCTAAAGCAGGCTTCTTCTTTCTACCCCAAATACAGACACACACAGAGTAAAATATAGGTCTTGTAATGCCATTTATTAGGTTGTTGTAAATCATTTTTTTGCACAATATGCAAAGCTGGTCTTAGCTCCCTCTGCGTTCACCCACACTTCAGGAAACAAATTCATCATTCAAAGTTTTTTGGGATAAATATACAGAGGTATCACTCCAGTATTTTTGTCAGATCCATGATACTGCTTCATTTTTAAGCATCCTTTGCTTGACGGCAGTATATGGTGACAGAATGTTTCTGCACTGAGCATCATATGTAAAGCATGCGCTTAGCATTTGGTCTTTGTTTTCTCATGTTGACCATATGTTTAACCATTTAATCTATATTAGCATTTGGTCTTTGTTTTCTCACATTGACCATATGTTTAACCATTTAATCTATACTCAGCTGAAGCCCTCTTAGAAAACATTCAGATAAAACCCCTACAAAGTAAACATGGAAGTTATTTCTCTTTAATATACTAGAGCTGATATGGCACTCTAATTATAGAAGTGTTAACTTCCTCTGAAAACTCTAATGACCCTGAAAATTATCAAATGATAATCAATTTGCCTTGAGCTGACTGACTGGCCCCTGGGGCTCATCTAGCATTTTATTTTAACACCATTTCATCTAAAGAGTACCACGTACACTTCACCATTGAGAACTGAACTGCGAAAAATGTTCTGCATGGTCATAAACATTTAACTACACAGAAACAAAAGTCTTACCTGACTTCACAAGAGTGGACACTGAGTTCTTTATGGAGAACACCACTGGTCAGGTTATAGACCAGTACTGACCCAGTACTGGTTCCTGAGAACAAGAGAGCAGAGAAGAGAAAGCACAACACATAAAAATGTGAGATGGAGAGAATGGTGAGAAGCCACAAGCCATACATACTTCTCCTAGTAGCCTGTAGCCTCTAATGGGATCAGAGAAAAGGTGTTTGTGTGACACCCCTGTGTGTTCCCTGTCAATGCAGCAGATGTGGAAAGAGGCAGTACATTAAACTCTGTGTCACTCAGTTTACTTCCTGAGAACACTGCAGTGTTTCATCTGCTGCTAGGAAAAACAGCACAACAGCTCTATCCCTCCCCAAACCACACATGAATAAATACTGCAAATGACATTTGACCCTGACTGGAAACTCTAAGGAGGTTTGATACAGCGATACAGTGAAAATCATATCAAAATCAACATACGTTATTTTTGACATTTACCTATCTGGGGAAAGTTTCCAACTATAATAAGTTAAAATCAACTTATAACCAACTTACATCTTTTTTTAGCATTTGCAGGGAATGTTGATGTTTCTTAGCAATGACCTAGTTCAAAATCACAATCAAAACAAATTCATACTAAGAAGTTCGACTGGAGCATCACAGCAATTTTGCACCTTCAATGATGTCACATTTTAACTTTTCTTGTACAGGATATAAGAGCCCATTTTTGCTCAGTTAGTCAATTGTGTGCATTGGTATTGTGAGAACTGTACACAGATTACATGGATGTTTGTTTTAAATCACTTATTTTATATTCTGAAAAATATGCAAAAAGCATTTGCTATTTATGAAACCTTTCCTTAAACAATTACAACGGCATATATAGAATTTCTATAGAATGCCATGGGTTGCCCGTGAGGGCGGCGCATATGCACACAGCGGCCCGGGGCCCTCGGCCCTTGGCTCCAAACAAAATTTTGTTATAAGTGTCACAATGTTACAATGACAATAAAATAAAGCTTCTTCTTCTCAGAATTACCACATCATGGTTGTATGACTCTACCAACCAGTCAAATTACAGTTTACATGCAAATCTGCCCGGACCCGTATAATATACAGTGCCTATAAAAAGTATTCACCCCTTTGGATGTTTTACACTATGTTTGATTTTATAAATCAATCATGGCCAATATGATTTGGCTTTTTTGACAAGAAAAAAACCCCATTTCAATTGCAATTTCTTATTGCAATCACTTATTTCCTATTACATATTTTTATTTAATTGACATTACTTTGTAGAAACCTGTTTTCACTTTGACATTAAAGAGGTTTTTTGTAATTTTTCTGTCAAAAAAGTAAAATTATATTGACCATGATTGATATATAAAATCACTAAAAGGGTAAAACATTCAAGGGGGTGAATACTTTTTATAGGTACTGTATGTAGGGAAGACGAAGACAATTAATAAAAGATATTAAATTCATGTTTGGCAAAATGGAAGTTATCATTATACTGACATGTACAGTATGATTCCAGTGAATAATTTCAATTGAGAAACATGCCATCTTCACTTACAGACTCTTCTTATAGAGTAGTACAGGGGAGTGATAGAGTTTGTCTCCTTGTCCTTGAATCCAGATGGATGTTTGAGCCAAACCTGAATAAATATCCTCTTGGGTAGCAATGGAATGGACATGAGGTCACAGTAACATTGATATTCGATCCCCAAAATCAAATGTAATCAGTTCACTTTTGGGTCCAAGTGGGCATTTGTGCCAAATCTGAAGAAATACCCTCAAGGTATTCCTGAGATATCATATTCATGAGAATGAGACAGATTGATGTATATCCTGAAAACATAATGACTCTGGCAATGGCTGTCACCAGAACAGAGCCATAGCAAGCAATTGTAAAGAGCACAAGATTTTTATCTTATAATCTAAGATAAAAATCACAGCAATTAAAATAATTACTCAATTAAGAAGCATGGCAAACAGCTCTGCAGCAGATGTCAAGGCAAATCAGAAGTTCATTATGATGCCTTGAAAATGTTTAGTAAGGTTTGGGGGACTATACTTTTATGTTTGTGGTGAATGTGGGCAGATGCAGAAATGCATTTGTTTTTATAATTATCCTGAGTGTGATGGAACTGTCCATCTGCAGAGGACAGCTCAGTCTGCACTGGGCTTCAACTAGAGGACCACATGCTGAAAAAACATCTGGAGGTAGTGACAGACAGTACTGCATGTGTGCGTCTTTCCCTCTTGCTCCCCATGTAGCTGATAGATGGCATGTAGTGTAGGACTGAATGATCTCTCAGTAAAGATGTCAGGTTGAGATAAACATATACCTGTTACCTCACAACCAACATTTGTTTACGTGAATCAATAGTGATCAAGAAGAGCTGTTGCTCCATATGGCCGTAAAGTTGGCCTTAAAGTTGGCATCAAGAGTATTTTTAAACTGTTTTATTTGATTCTGGGACAGATACTTGATACATGACAGTAAATGGAAAATGTTCTATTCACCCACAAAAGACTGTAGGGTGTAAGAATCAGAAGCTAAATTCAGGTCAGCCATTCATCAGACAGACCACTCAGAAGATGCAGGTTACTATGGGAGCAGCATTCTGAATCCTGCTCAGTTTTCACTTTCCTGTTGATTTGGCTAGTGTTAAAGAAAAAATAAATGAGGTTAAAAAAAAAACCCTTCTTTCCTCTTTCTTGAGAAAAAGAGTAGAAGATTGACAACTATCATTTCTAGCCGTTAAATATAATCATGCAGGCCGGCCTAGTTAGTTTCGCTGAAGACTAGAAACAGACGGAAACAGTTCTGTCCAAAAGGTAAAAAAAAAAAAAAAAAAAAAAAAAAATCTACCTACATATAAAGCTCTGTTGCATACATATGTTTTTGTTTAATCCATAAAAAACTGTAAAATATCAAGCTGTGTTTTTATGAGAGGTTTTGTACTCAACAATTCCTTGGCCCGCCATAGTCACTCCCAAGTTTCTGCTGGTTGTCTGGCAAAGCCACAGTAGCAACAACAAAAACAAGTCACTGCTCCAGGCCAAGAAATTATTAGTGAGCCTAACAGGTGGTGGGTATGTGAAATTTGTTACTTTGGACAGAGCCAGGCAAACAGGTTCTCTGTTTCCAGGCTTTATGCTAAACAAAGCTAAGTGGCTGCAGATACATACACACTTTAAACTAAATTAGTGATGACCTCCCATAGTGTATAAAATTTCTTCTGCGAAATCACAGAGCACTGAGGAAATTATGTGGCTGTGACAATCACTGAAAAAATGAAAAGCCTCCACAGATTAAGCACTATAGTTTTGTACATCTGCAGTACTTGTTCAACAATACTAAAGCACATAAAACTCTGCAACCGATAATGTGTTTGTTTCTTACACATGCCATCTCAATTTTCAAAATGAATGACTAACTTAAACTTTTTACAGTAGTAACGTTCCTTATCCAAATCATATCAATACATTCATTGGACTGTTTTTCGCCCTAACATTAAATTTGGTGGCAATCCAAAAAAATAACAAGCAAGAAAGTACAGATGATGGCAGAGGCAGAATATTCCCTCTTGAACTGGACTCCATAAATAAGTGCAAGGTGGGAGAGGATAATGTGTACCCCAGACTGGAGGCTTTGAAAAGATTCATTTGTGGACTCCAAACATTATTTATATTTCCTTTGTAAGAACTGAAGCTGAGAATGAAAATCAGTCAGTTCAATTATTTTTTTTTGCTGTTGAGGTGCATGCATCAATAACTACATTTCTATCAGTATCTATTTCTCACATTTTGTAATTAAATTATGTTCTTTATTCTACTCATGATGGTGTTTCACTTTGCAGATTCAAACAATGTAGCAAAGAATAGCTATCAGGCAAGCACAAATAAATAGTTTGCCAGATGATTAGAAACCATGTCAGTTTGTCAGTGTACATATCAATGAAAAGCAAGGCTCTGGGTCTTATACCTGTCTGCAACAAAGCTGTCTTGTCTCACACAGATTACAACTTTTTACAACTAAACAGCAGTGCTTCTGGGTAGCTAGGTTGGCTGCATAGGTTCTGTTAACTTCCCTTTAGAGTCCAAGAGCAAGGAATACTGCCAAAAAAAAAAAAACTGTAAAGAGAAAAAGAGAAAACTGAGACAGATATCCATGCCTTCTGTCCAAATATAAAATAAAATGTGGATAGCAATTTCAATCCCCAGTGCTTTCACACCATCAGCAGTGAGCTCATCTCTTGCTTTATTTGCACCTAGTGGAAGGTGTTAAAACTCACTTTCCCTTGACTGTTACTGCATCACTGAAACTCAGTAAGTCCTCTTTTTAACTCAGTTACACATTAGACAGAAACCTAATGCTTACTGAATGTTGACAGAAGCCAAGAAAGAGACTACGAGTATTACCAAGGACTCATCCATGGATCACTTTATCAGATGTAGTCTCTGGGGGCTTAGTAAACAGAAGAGGTGACAGAATGCCAGTGCCTGCCAGAACACCCGTCACAGTACAAATTTCAGCATCATTACTGAGAAGGTGACAAGTGCAACAGTAAAATAGAAATGTATTCAATTTATAAAGCAGGACAGTGACACCCTATGCCAATTTTTATTGTCCGTGTAACTCCTACAGTATACTCCAAAGTGTGCTACTCTAACAAAATGGCTATAAAAGAAATAAACTAGCCACATGATATATTTTTAACTAATCATACTTCAGCTTTTAAATCACAGCAGAGATGGTGTCCTCCTATCTAAGTCCCCAATGTAACTTTCCAGTCCCCCAAACTTATAACTCACAGCCTAGTCCACAGGAAGTGGAACAAAAGGCAAATTTCAATAAAGCAGCTACAGACTGTTTAACTATTTGACTCTGCAAGATGACTATGGGGACTTGACAAACGATGTGCATAAAAAAACGCAATCGCCCTTTTCTAGTTTTAGATTCAGAACACCACTGGGAACCACCTGTGCCGAGTCAACCCCACACCATCTGTGACGTGATAGGCTCCTACTGCGCCCACTCCAGAGTCACACAGATTGTGAGAGGAAAACAAACAACTGCAGGTCTCTGACTGATTAACTGTTTTTGAAATGGCTGTTTTAGGGAGGCTGGGGGTGTTTTTTTCCCCTTTTGGTAGATTCCCTTTCACTGCTGTCAAACATATCAAAGACAAACCTGTTAATGAGTGCATTTACATGGACATGAGTATCCTGGTCTATGAGCATCCTTGTCACAATTTTTTTTAAGTATCCTGTCTTTTGTGTTAGTGCAATTTCCACTGTAGACAACAGAGGAGTTGACATTAGCTATCCCTGTCCAGCGGATACTGATCCTCCAATGGGCGATACATCAACTCCATGTATCAATAAGTTGCCTAACAATTGTTAACATTAGTGTATACATGGTAACCTCCCTCGTTTTCATTAAGAAAAACAAATACATATAGTTACCAAACATTTCTTAATTTTATATATATAAAATAGAAGATGAGGAAGCTGAGGAGGCTGAAGATATGCACGTCCATGTAAACACACTCAATAAGAGAGAGAACAGCAGTGGTTAACCCTTAAAGCCTTTCAAAACTATTGCAGTCATTACTGAATTAAGTAATAATGTGTAGTGGACTTTGGAGATCTGTGTTCCACCACCGTGGATGTGATGCACATATCAGAGAAAAAAGAAACCCAGTATAAACAGTTGTAAGTTGTATAGGTTGAAGGTGTTATCCTGCTTGTCTGTAGGTCTAAGGGAGGCAATCAATCTTTAAGGTATGATTAATTTATGTGGGCAATGTCAGGGATCTGTGTGTAGCCTATTTTTCAGCTTGACAACTAAACTGAAGGATTGCAGTGTTGGGGATAGAACAGTAGCATGACTGGGCCATAAATGGAAGTCGGGGCACTACTGTGGACACACACACACACACAGAAAGCAACAGACAAAAAAGATAAAACGGATATTATATGCATAATTCTACTGTTAGTTATCCATTAAAATCAAGACTTCTATAATTTCATGCATCATTATTGTGAGGAAAAAATAAGGGAAAAACATCTGAAAAAATGTAATTGCTGATCTAAAAAAATGGATCTGAACTTTCACTGCCCCTCTCCCTCTGCAGGTGTTTTCAAGAGGGCAACAGATTAAGTTTATGCCTTTGAATAATTTTCTAAGACTGCACAGTTGCTGTCTATGAACTGCTACTCTCTCAATTTCTGCTTCAAGAGAATCAAATTCACAAATGCACTCTTACTGGTGTGTGCATCTCCTTTGAGAAATCATTTCAAATTCAAAGATGGGAATTTGCAATATGTTAACAAAAGGCTCAACAAAAGTATCAGCAAGTTTGAAAACACTTTGAAACCCCCTAAAGAGTTAACTGTCCTAAAGAGCAGAACATAAGAAAAGTTTTAAATCCAAATTTAAAGGGATACCTACTTTGGGAAACGCTGTGATTTGCTGACCTGAACATTCTGAAAAGTCTCATTCACAATGACAGTTCACTTAGGGAGAACGTACGAATGAATACATCTGATAATTGTGCTGCTGTTCTGAGGTAAAGGTCTGCTTGACTTAATACGTGCCTTCATCAGTAGCTGTTAATTTCCTGTTTCATGATGAACTGATGTTTGAGGTCTTGGTATGCAAATTAGTTTCAGTGTTTATTATGTCTTATTTTTCTGTCTCAAACCACAAGCAATTAAAATGTGTAGCTGCAGCTGGAGAATCATTCAGCCCCGTGTCCTCACAATGCACTCCTCACTCACAGGATGTTTTGTGCTCTCATCACTGGCCAGCAACATTTCATAAATCAAAGCAGACAAGGTTCTTCTTCTCAACGCCCCAGACTTGGGGTAGTTACAGATGAAGGCATGAAGGATGGCAGCCACTTATACAGAGGACATTTTGACAAAATACAGTGTCAAAAGAACAAATATACCACCAAACACACCCAAACTATCAGGGTGGAATTTTCATACAAATTAAATATGTTTATGCTTTATTTAATTATTAAATATGTAAACAGTTTTTATGAAAGTGGTGTACTTAAAATACATTTGAGGGACTTAATACTTCTAACTCCACTACAGTTCAATGGGAAATGCTGTAATATTCACTCCACTACATTGTAATATCCAACTATTTGAAAGGAGGCTACTCTTCATCGGTACTTTTACCTTTGCTACTTTAAGCACATTTTGCTCATAATACTCTTTGTGTGTAATCCCAAATACCTCATCTACCACTGGTAAATATCATTTAATGGGCATTAGGTCAAAAAGCTACAATGGTATAGTATCACTCAGTCTAAACTTTCACATGTCGTGGTACAAGGAAAAAGAAAGGAAATACAGGAAACGTGTGCAGCAAACAGCCCTATTCCACTACTGCAGTAATCTAAATTATGCCAATATCAGCTCATGGTGTGATGGTGTGGGGTTCTTCGCTGGTGACACTATCTGCAATGTATTCAGAATTCAAACTGCACTTAAACAGAATGGCAACCGCAACATGCTGCAATGACATGCCATCCCAAAAACAAGAGAAAAAGAAAAACCGCTGAATGAGAAGGTGTGTTCAAACTTTAGATTGGTATATAGGTATGTGCATGTTCGCTGCTGTAGCTTTGACAGAAGAAGCAAAATAAAACAAATATGACAACTGAAGCTGTATGCATGTGAATATTACTGAGACAGTTTCATTGACTTTTACAAATCATGTCATTCATTTTTCATACAGTTCAAGTATATGATCTAAACTGTCTTAGTACACTCATGACATGTTTTTTCAGTGTGGATACACTAATGAAGCTGCAAATTCTGGGATTCACTGACATTCTCCCCACTGCTTACACACAAGATCTTTCTCCAGTATGAATTATTTTATGTCAGCAAGAGGTTCTTAGGTCTACAACAGTAGAATTATTCAGCATTAGCAAGCATTGACCCATACATAAGATTCAGCTTTATCTAAGAGGATTTTGCAGCCACTAAACTAAATAAGCAGCATGTAGTAGTCATGAAGTGTTTACGAATCTTCGGTAAAACTATTTGTTGACATGACTGTCACAAAGAAAAGCCACACACACACACACACACACACACACACACACACACACAAAAGCAGTTCATATGTCGTTGGTTTTCTCTTTGAAATGCAGCAATGATGCAACTGAGTTTAATCTGAAACAATGTGATGAAACAAAATCACATACTGGACACGAGTGCAAAAATTACTGCACAGAAACTAAAGGCACACCTTGGTCCAAACTTTGAGGAAAAACTGATAACGATGCTCTCACATTATGAGCTCCATATTGTTTGATGAATGCTATATATTACTTTCTCCATTTCTCTCTCTCTTCCCCTTTACAGAGAATCCAGTATTTCATGCAGATGAGTTGAGTTTTGTGTGTCAGTGGTGCATTATTACGTACCCACAGCCAACAGGGGTTGGTAGTGATTGATATTTTTGGTGGTAAGAGGTGGACACATGCGGATG